CTGATAAATTTTAATAAAATTGCCAAATTTTATCACGTACCATAAAAAAGTATTTCATTGTTTATTTTACCAAAATTTATTCAAAAGCCCTTCGGTTAAAATTACCGATCTTTTTAGTGTTCCCATTGAGCCGAAAACACGGTAAAATGTTACCATTTTCTAATAGTTTTGGCCACATTTTTTTTTCTCATTGTAGGATTCTAAAATTAAATTAAAATTGGATTCATTGTTATAGCAAATGTTATAATAATGAAGAGTTTTATTTTTAAATTCATAATTTATTTGGCCCTTATTTTATTGTAATAAATTTTATGGTTATAAATAATAAATTCCCTGTTATTAATAATAAATTCACTATCATCAATAATAAATTCACTTTGAATAATTAATAATAAATAATAATGGAATTCGAATAGTTAATAGTAAATTCACTTTGTTAAACCTTTATTTTCTGTTTGGTTTTTATTAGTAATTGTTCGTTTTTAAATAAAACGAATATATATATATATATTAAGAGGTTCTTTACAGAATTACAGAAAACCATTTATGTAGGGGGGGAGGCATTTTAAAGTGCCAGTCACGTGATGATGAACGTACAAAACATCTTAAGGCGTTGTATAGAATTGTTGGAATTACTTCAATGAATATTGAAGAATGAATAAAGCTCTTTTGAGTCATATGGGGCTAAAAAAAACGAGTGGGAAAACCTGTTGCCGCTTTTAGAACGACCACCCCTCTTTCGCTGCAACCGTCGAGATGAGGTCCATATTGACTTTCTACCTCGCTTAGAACACTTTTGCGTGGTTAAAAGTGTCTGCTGATAGCGAGAATAAAAGAGAAAAAAAAGGGATTCCCTCTTTTTGCTCTAGTTCATGGGATATTCTTTTTTTTAATGAATGAGTACGTGGTCTCTTTCTGTGGTAAGTTGAGTTTCATTTTCCACTGTTTTCCGGTGTCAGATTTATTGCCGTTGCCTGGTGCAGCGGTTCCCAATACCCCTGTGGTACTTAAAATAATCAACGTTCTTTCTTATATTGTGCCATAGAAAAGCTTTTCAAACCAATTTTTATACAGACTGAAATTATTTTCGCGCCATTCGAACTCAGTGTACCTTTTATTAAAGATAATTAGATAATTTTCACATTAGCCTTTAACTCACTGTGGACAGAATATCAAACTGACAAAAATCGTTTTATTTTAGCTGACAAATTATAAATATATATTGTGATATGATGCTGCCTCAGGAAACGCGTCCACAGTTTTGAAATTTCATAGTAGGTATGCGAGCTATAGGGAGGGAGCGCAATTTTTTTAGAAAATTAATTAAAATACTCGAACGAATCTTTCATGGTGGTCAGATATAAAAAAAATTCATGAAATAAACATACACGTGTCTGAAGGTTTGGGTTATGCATACCTGCCAACTTTTAATCCCTTCCATTATGATTTTTCCCAGTGGTATTAAAATGGAATAAAAATTTCAATTTTAAGCAAAAAAATACGTTGTATTTGAAAAAGCTTAAGTTGCATACCATGATAGTAACGCATATTAATATATATGCTTAATTTTTCTAAGAATAGTGGTGATGAAAATCATTTAAAAATTTAATTTATAAAAGAAAAAATAGTATATATTTACTACCACTTTAAATATAAAAATAAAATTTTACGCCAAATGCGTAAAAGTTGGCAGGTATGGTTATGTATTCGGCAGCTCTGCATTTAATCTTATATCATTTCTATGATTTAAAAATTATAATCTATAACAGCGGTTCCCAAATGGTGTTCCGCGAAACCATAAGACAGCTATTCCCAATTTATTTCGCCTGTGGAACCCTAAATGATCAACATTTATTAGGTGGAACCCCGACTTTTGAAATTCAGCCATTAGCAGTTGTAAATACACAAACCAAAGAAAGATTACTAATTATTAAAAACGAAAAACTACTAAAAGACAGGATTATTTAGTTTTCTAAATATTTAAAATTGAAATTTTGAAATTTTATTGAAATTTTTTTTCATCGTTTCATCATTATCTAATATCATTATCTTTTTTCATCGTTTCATCATTATCTTATAATCACTATCTTAAATTGGGTTTTATGTCCGACAGTTCAATTCGCATTTCTAGAGCTGAAACTAGTCTAAATATGAATTATTTATGTTTCATAAACATAAGCTGGAAATGAAATAAACCTAATTACGGTTTTCGTTGAAATGACAACTGAAAAGAACTTACTTAAACATTCAGAATGATTATTAGGGAAGAACATTTATTTACTAACAAATTTAGTTTTTCATTTTGATTTGAAGATCGCGATAGGAAATACTAATGTAATTTTTAAATTATTTTATTCCAATCGATAATTTATTCAATACTAAAGAAATACATATTAAGGAAATAAAATTTTTTTTTCAAAAATGAAAATATCTAAAAATATAATACCTTCTTTTTTATTGGCAATTTACTTAAAATAATTTCATAAAAACTGACATTCCGAATATTTAGTAAATAATGATTTGTTGATTGAATCTAAATATAACTATAAGATTCAAAAATGTTTTTTAAAAAAAAACTGTTTACAAAGCACCGTTTTTGTACAGCTAGCATAGTGTTTTTAATGTATTTACGTACTGAAAATTTACATTTTTACGTGACCCCATGAATAGAGGTTAAGAAATTTGTTTCATTATTGAAAAAAATTGGAAACGGGTTTATCCAGTGTTTTTTCGATGTCCTATATATTTCTGTAGCTTAGAACTTCTTATATCAGCGCAACTTCTTTACATACCGAAAATTTCTTTGCGACCCTTTTACATGCTGAAAATTTTTACACTACCCTATGATTAGACGTTGTAATTTAAATATTCAAACGTTGTCATTTTTTTCCTACTGCGGCTCAACGTAGGAGAAAAAAAATATTTATGTACTCAGCGATAAATTCCAGATCAAATTACGAATAAAAGGTACCGTAAAATTCATTTTTACTTTACCGTTTTTTTTACCGTAAAATTCAATTTTATCACAACGATTACGGAATCAAAAATCTGATGTAACTTTATTTTTAGAGTAATAATTACCGTATAATCACTGAGTTACTCTAACTAAATAATTATTACTGTTATTTTTACAGTAATAATTACCGTATAATCACTGAATTACTCGAATAAAATAATTATTACTGTAATTTGATCCGGATTTATTAGTTTATATGATAGTGTAGTTCAGGGCTTTTTATATAAACATGACCCCTTTATTTAAAGAGATTATATAGGTTAAAGATAAAAGTTAGTTTCATTATGCATTGTTTTTTGATGTCATATTTATTTTTTTAGTTATTACTATTATTTATTTCCTACACTCAACCCCTTTACAATTTTTACGTGATCCGTAGTAAAATGGTAAAGTAAAATAATATTATGTAGTAAAATAATGTTATGAAATAATGATCCGTAGTAAAATAATGTTATGAAATTAAATAGAAATATATTATAGTTTAAAGATTAAATATCTTTTCCTTATCCTCTATTTTCCTGTGCAATTTTGATTTCTGTAGCTCCGGGGATTAATTTTTTTCTACATGCATACCTTTACATAGTGAAACTTTTCACCCGACACCTTGAAAATGAAATAATTTGTCAAAAAAATTATTGATATTGTTGAATTAAAGATTGTTATTATTACACCTGTAAAAACATTCGTTCTATTTATTTGTAGCTCTACCCTAAGTTCTTAACGGAATTTTTCCATTCTTTTACTCTTATTGTTCTGTTACCTTGATTTTTTTTAGTCCTCAAAAATCATAGTGAAAATGTTTTCCAATAGCTCGATCAGAGAAATTCGGTGATAAATTTTCATTAAAATATTTAAAATTGTGGAAAAAGGCAAATTTCTTTTAAAAGGAAAACCGAACATTTTTGTCAAATTTTGGAAAAGTTCTGACAAATAACCAATCCATTTTTGCAAATTTTATCTTAGTAAAAATGAAACTTTTTTCTGAAAAAAAATATAATAATTTAATTCCAAAAAAATGGAGGAAAAAATTCAAACATAATAAATATCTTGCTCTATTTTTTGCATTGTTTTTTATTGATTTTATTTGCCTCGTATTTGTATTTGTGAGAAAAAGATAAAAACATTACTTAAATTTCGTGTCATTCTCCTTAATAATAATGATTTTACATGGTTTGCTAAGTGTTTAGTATTCCACTTTAAAGAGAATATTTAAATGTTTGCTTGGGGCATAAATCCAAAATTTAAATGCTTCGCATTATAAATAGTTGATACTTCCTTTACAATTTAATCTGGACTTTGATTTAAATGCCTTTTTGATATACAAGTTTGACACTTTACTTATAATATAATGTAAGCGTTAATTAAAATATTTTGCACAATAAAAATTAGATACTTATAGTATAATTTAGGCTTTATTGAAATAGTTTTATATTAATTTATTTCAGACATTTATTAATTTTCATAGATTTAAATCCTCTTCATATTCTTTTTATCGTAGTAAAACCTTAGTTATATTTAATAGCAGAAGTTTTAAACTTCCATTAATTTTTTTTTCTACCACTCTTTTCACGAGTTCAAGTAACTGTTTATTTAAAATTTTGAAAAAAAATTTAAAACAAACAAGTAAACTATTGAGCTATCATGCCGTTATGTACTAAAAATATTAACAATTTTTATACATTATGTAGATTATTAAATCCTGCTTTTATATTTATGAAGGTTCTGTAAACAAATACGTTTGTTATTTATTTTATCAATTATCGTTATTATTTTTTATTTATTAATTAATTGATAACAAGTAATGCAGACTTCCAATCGCATTATTCATACAATTTTGTTTACCTCTTGAAAAATTTATTAACATAGTTAAATCCTCTTTTCATACTTTAATTTTAAAACTTCCGCTATTAAGTAGGTCTGGATGGGAGCCCAAGTATTGTATCTCACAAATTCCGACCCCAAGTGATATTCCCCTGGCTCCTATTTTTGGATCACTTCAACCTCCCGAATCAAACTTTACTCATATGTATCATTAGAGACGTAAGCACGTCCTGTTGACTGCATCGATTTGTTCGGTGATAAATCTTGGTTGATAACGCCTGAATTTTTTTGTAATCTGATTCAAAAAATATGTGCCCCCTCCCCTCCTTTCAATGCTAAACTCTTAGCAGTGAAATTGCGGTAAGAAGTGATAAAATCGTTTTAGAATTGGGATTCTTTTTTCCTGTGGATGTCTTTGATTAAAAGCAATCGAATATCTGAGCAAATACAGGTGACAGTTCAAAGAATACTGGGATTGCAACATTTTTGGAATATTAATAAGCCTCGACTGTGCCGGTCTCATGCTAATCAGTGTTCTACATAGTACTAGCTGCATAAAAAAGAATTGTTCTAAATCGTTTGTGGATAAAAATACTTATAAATTTATAGCGTCCATAATCGTTTTCTTGCCATCGTATTTTTATTCTACTACTTGAATCTAACTAAAAAGTTAGTTATATAGCTGGATTTTGATCCTAGGCAGACGTTATTTAGATGTAATCCTTAAAGTAAACAAGTGAGTTGATGCATTATTTTACTTGTAATAGTTTCATTCTAAGATATTTCTGTATGGAAATAATATGTGATGTTTTCAGGCTAAGTTTTTTTTCTTAAAATTTTTTGTGCGTTAAACACTTCGTAAAATTCAAAAGTGATAAAAATTTTTATTCATTTGTTCTATTGTATTTCCAAGTTTTCAATCTAGTGCATAAAGTTATGAATTTCTTATATATAAAAATTTCATATGTTGATTTTAATATGTTGTTTTATAATTTGTTTTATAATTTGTTCTAGTTTTATTGCAAATCTATTTTTATATAATGCATTACCATTGGAATAAGTAAAATGTACCAATAATTACGATAAAAATAATTTCTAGCTTTTAATAAGTAGTCGTTTAAGTATGAAACCCGAAATTAATAAATTAACTTAGTGTTTAATAACATTCTCCAATAAGTCATTTAGAAGTGTTTAAGAGTATTTTACAATTAATTTATTTGTTTAAGTTTGATCATGTTCAACGTATGAAATATGATTGTTAAGTTTAAAATTATTATAAGATTATAATGATTAAAAATTAAAAAATGGCCATGTTTCCCTAAAATTTTAACTACCTGGAATTTTTTTCTAAAATGTAAATGTATCTGTTTCAGGCCCTTCAATCATTCCAACTAATATGTTTATTTGATTACTGTTAATTTATAGACATTTGTGAACCAACAAAGGGCACGTTCGTTTAAATTATAAGAGGCGAACCGCAGCAATCCGTTTTACTGAGATTCCTCTAATTTTTTATGCACTTATAAAATTCTATATAAGTTATAAAATTCTGAAGTGAAATTCTAATAAGTTAAATAATACATTTTTTTGTTTGTTAAACAATATTTTTCATGTAATTTCCAGATTCAAATCTTCGTTGAGTATCATATTGGTTGATTAAGTTCTTATGATCTAAACAATTTTAATTACTATTTATAGTTGAGATATAAAAATACGGAGAGATAAATTTTCATCTATTTGTAAATTTGCTCACACATTTGTTTGCAGGTTTTACGCACTATGTACTTAGATTAATTTTATTGAAAACATATTAGTTATTAGTCATTATATCTTTTATAATTGAAGTATGCAATTCATTTTTTTATAAAAAGTTGACTCTGTTGTTAATTTTGTTGGTATTCATGAATAGTTGATTGCTTTTAACTTTAAAAGTGTTAATTTTCCGCTTACAAGTAATATAAAGTTATACTTTAATAAATGGGTATATTATTGATATTATATTTTAATAAATAGGTATATTATTGATATTATACTTTAATAAATGGATATATTATTGATATTATACCTTAATAAATGGGTATATTACTGATATTGTACTTTAATAAATGAGTATTTTATTGATAATATAATTTAATAAATGGGCTAATAGTTGTGTTTATTATTTAAACTATACTTTATCAATTATATTTGTTATTGAAGTTATTCTTTAATTATCGTTTAGTTTAACTTTTAAATGGCTTAAATAATAATTTTTATTAGACTTACTTTTTCAAATCACATTCTTTTTCTATGTTTTTTTCCCCCTAAAAAATAAACTTTGAGGTCTTAGAATTATTAAAAAAACAACTATTGTACTTTAAAATAAAAGTGGGATAACTCTGAAAAAGATTTAAATTTAGTTTTTAGCTTTATATTTAAATTTTTTGAAAAACTTACTCAGCTAACAAACGAACAAAAAAATTATAAATAAATACAGTTCCACAATAAAATAAAATTTTGCAATTGTTTTAATTTGTGCAATATAATAATATATGAAAGTTTACCCATAAGTTTTAGTAAAGTTTAAATTTGTCACAATCTATTCTTAGTAATGCAGGTTAAAGATAGATTAACTTATAATTATCCCTTAAACTATTATTAAAAGGTTTCAAAAATAAAAAGAACTTGATCTTATTAAATACAATTGTATGTATTACGCAATTCTGTATAACAATGATTGTAATATTTATGAATTGTTAAGGCATTCAATATTATAAAACTTAATTTCCAACATAAAATAGTATTTATAAATGCTATAAAGTATGCGTGCAAAATAAAAAGAAAACAGTTATATACCAAAGAAACATGTTATTAAAGCTTAAATTAAATTTACTGGCATTATATATATTAAAAATTGTAGTCAATAATAAGTACCTGCGATTCGGCTTTATTCTTTTAATCCAATGTCCTTAAGAAATTAAAATAAAGCGTGTCTTTTGTATTGTAAATAATATTTAAAATTAAAAGATTTTTTTTTTTTTTTTTGCATTACGAAACCTTATTTATTAAGGTCATTTTTACTGCTAAATTGGTTTCATTCAATTTTTATTGTTAAGCAAGAATTAATTTTTATTATTTTGTTTTAAGAAGAATTTTATCGGAAAATACTACACTCTAAAAACATCCATTCTTCTTCATTTTAAGTAACATTATTTTGCGAATTTGCTACTCGTTTCCAGACATCGGGAAACTTTCAAACCATCGACAATTTCCAAAAAATATTATAATTGAATTAACCATCCTATTTTTTCTAAGAATTATTCGTAATCAAATCGTGACACGTGTTAATAACCTCATTCAGTTTCATTGCAAGAAGTTCTTGTTAACTTGCTTGTACAGCAAACCGGAAATGTTTCAAGTCGAATCATTCGCCTCCCCGAATTCTTCCGTACTATCAAATGAATGGAAGCGAGACAATAAACATAGATATGAAGAATAGACTCATTACTTTCAATCAACGTAACATGATAAGATTTACCTCCAGCAACGAAAGGTGTCGCTTGCGTCATTTTTTTTTTTTTCTTCTTCTTCTTCCTTACCGCATTTATCTCTGTTCTCAATTTAGTCAGAAGTTTTTACGAACAGATGTCACGTTTCGATTTTTATTTCTTTTGAATGTATATCTGTGAAGGAATTTTTGCATCTGAGATAGGTAAAAAGAAGAAACCTTCAAGATTTGATAATTTAATCATGGCATAAAACCTGCCTTGAATATATATTTATTTTAAACTTAACATTTTAAACTGCGCGCTCATTAACACTCGAAAACAGCTTAGGGATGCCACAAACCGAATGTTTACAACTAATTCTTTTAATCATATTTTAAACAGCTCGCTCACCAACTCTCTAAAATAGTTTAGAGAAGCCATGAATCCAATGTTTATAACTAATTATTCGAATCATATTTTAAACAGCTCGCTCACTAACTCTCTAATATAGCTTAGAGAAGCCATAAACCCAATGTTTATAACTAATTATTCGAATCATATTTTAAACAGGTCACTTACCAACACTATGAAATCGCTTGAAGAAGCCGCAAACCCACTGTTTATAATTCATTATTTAAATCCCATTTTAAACAGCTCGCTCACCAACACTCGAAAATAGCTTAGTGGATCCACAAGTCCGTGGTTTATAGCTAATTATTCTCTTTATTAAATTATATAGTCTGTTGAATTTCAAACTGTTCAATTATTGTTAACACTCTCATTCAATTATTCGTTCAATTATTGTGAAGAATCGGTTAAATGTTGAACTGTAATCTCAGTATCTTGAATCATAATACTATTCAAATTTACCGCAACCTTAGTAAGATGTTACCATAATATCAACTGATCAAGAAATGAGATAATATATTTTAACATATCACTGTACTGAGGTTGCAACTAAGTCGTACAATATTATACTTCTCCATGCTCCAAAGTTTATTACAGAGTCGCTGACTTTCGGTAATTTAATTTTTTCATTTGGAAAAGACAAATAGAACTATGAAGTTTTTTTTAAAAAAAAATTGTATTTTGAGCACGCAGGAAATAATTTTGGTTATATTGGAGCTCTGAAACATTATGGAACGGAGAAATTGCGATCACAATCTAGTGCAAAAGCGCCAGGATTGGAAATTTTTCTACCCGTAAACGTTATTAGCAGAGCGTTTATAATCTGGAAGGGATTGCCATACTGAAAGACGTAACATCTTCGCTGTTAAAGAGAGCACTTTTAGTTAATTTTCTAAAAAGGGGTATAATGCTAAATCGGATAACAACACAAACTTACCAGTTCAATGAGGCTCAATTCTCATTACTATTCTTGATTTAAAAAATGAAAATAACTCAAAACATTTGAAAATTTTTAAATAATTTTTATTTGAAGTATTCGACGCATTTTACTTGCCATATTTCTCTATTTAAGCTGACTTTAAAACTTTTTTTATCGCTCAAGCAAGAACTTGCGAGGAAAAATTAATTTTTAGGGTGGATTTTTAATCCATACATAAATTTTCTAAAGAACTTATTTATGGCAAGTCAAAACTTCTTTAAAAATAGCTATTCTGCTTTTAAAATTCAAAGAATAATTATACAAAACCGATCATTAATTTTAGTTTCTTTATAGACTCAACCATAAGATTTTTATTAATATACATTGAGAAAAAAAAATCTACCAGAATAGGATAAAATTTACCGTATTTTTGACTCTATGGGAACACTAAAAAGCTCGGTAATTTTTACCGAAAGTGATGATTTTGGTAATATATTAAAAATGAAATAAAATTTTAAAATATGGGATAAAATGTAATTTTTTTTAAAAATTTTATCATAAAAATCAATAAAAACTAATATTAACCGAATAATTTCATCATTATTCGGTTAATACTGGCTTAGGTACATTTATTTAGGTTGTTTGTTTTTTATTGACTGTGTGATAATACAAATTGTAGTCTTGAAAATCTTAATTTCTGATAAACCGTTACCATATAAACTGAAAAATTACCGAACAAATGGTTTAAATGCCGTATATTTTGATGTTATTAACTAAAATTATAGTTTTTTTTAACCAGAAATGTCATTACCATTCAATACGGTAATTTTACCAGAAAATTTTTCTCCGTGCCTAATATGATTTTCGGTAATTGAAACCTGTAGGGTCTAATCAGTGAAGGGGAGAAATTAACTAAACATATTTATACAAAATAAAATTTCT